ATAAGCAGATAAGGGTGGTTCATGCACATGTGGCTGCAGTATTTATAGGATGCCGTAGCCATGCCACCGCATACCTATGAATGTTCACGGCTCCCTCCTCTTCATCAGGGATCGTTGCACGTGGCGTGATGGTCGATATTCGAGTCGATAATTGCTGCAATTTCATCACGTGCGTTGGATGTTGGTGTGATGATTGCTCGACCATCTGACGCGCTGAACCGGGTGTTGGGAAGAGTGTTCATCAAGGCGCTCCCCGCGTGGCCAATTTCTCCGCCTAAACGAAGTCTCAGCACGCTGTATTGAATGGGAAGCTTATTGCACTTGTTAATAGACTGGGGGCCAGTGAAACATGGCTCAAGCAGCTCCCGGCTCACGCGGTTGTCACCTCTTGCGAGAATTTCGGCCTCGTCAAATTAGAATGTGTGGCCGGAACCCGTCGAATGAGCCGCAACCTGAGAGCGGACGTCATTTCTCCGCACTGCCGCAGCGTGTTCGGCCATTCGCGTTCGGAGCTGTCTTCCGGTTTCTCCGACGTAGTTGCTTTGTCCGCAACTGCACCAGATACGATAAACGACTCCAGACGTTTCTTGCCGTGGCAGTGGGTCTTTTGGTTTCATCAGTTGACGCCTGATGGTTGCCTCTGGCCTGTGTGCAACTCCAACCCCCAGCGGTGCGAGAAGGCGGCCAACAGCTTCCGACACGTTCTTGACATATGGATGCGCTCGCCAAACTTTGGTGTCCGTGCGGTTAGGCCTTTCGTCCATTTTGCGTATGCACCGGTTGACAAAGTTGCTCGGGTAGCCATTGGCTTTGAATACCCGTCGGAGGTATTGTAGTTCGGCAATTTTGTCTTCCGGCTCACTGCAGTGCGTTTCGACACGCCGAAAGAGCGTCCTTACACAACTGCGTTTGTGGCTGATTGGGTGGTTGCTGTTGAAGTTCAGTACTTGCATCGTATTTGTCGCATTCCTGAACACTTTTGTCTTTATTCCACCACAATCCTTGCGGCATACGGGGACATCCAGGAAGGCCAGCTGGTGGTTCTCTTCCTCCTCCATCGTAAATTATATGTCCGGGAAGACCGCATTCAGACTTTCCTTTAATGTCAGCAGTTGATCCCGTTCGATAACGACGAAGGTATCATCCACATACCGGGCCCAGAACTTCG